AATCAAAAAGGACGAAGTCGTTAATTTAAAAGTACAATCTTATCATGAAATTAAGTGATTTATAATAAGTAGAAGTTACTGTATACTACGTGCGTAAACATTTACCTTTAATATTTTTAAAATATACTGAAATATTGTGCTATTCAAATTAAAACAAAATATTTTATCTTCAGTTTAATGGTTTCATAAGTAATTACGTCACTAGTAAAGACTTGATAATCATTAGTCACATATTACTATGAGTCCGGATGGAATTGGTAATATATTACGAAATATGATATAACTGTACTTATCATCTGAAAAATGTAATAAATTGAAATTTATAACTTTTCTTACACGAATAAATTTATCTTTACACTTTATCAGTAATTTTTAGGCACGATTATTATACGAAACATCGTATTTTCTTACAATTCGACAAAAAGGGTTTCCTGAGGTATATTACTAATCAAGTTAAAAAAAATTGTATTGAAAACTCGTCTCATAGTGCCAAAATAATATATAAGATTTAGAAGGCCAACTATATATACATGGATACACCATTATTACTAATATTCGGTTGAGTAACTATGAAATGCATGTTAAGGTTAATGACAGAATTATATTATTTTCATAAATTTTCACAAAAATAAAGCAACTTTTTAAGCCCTACAGAAGTTATCATTATTATTTTAATAATCATTACTTTTTCAAACATAAATGTAACATTTTTTTTTTTTTTAATTTTTCTCGTATCGCAACGATCGTACCTTATATGCAAACGTATACGATAGCCCTTTGCATCGATAATATTTCTGGTTAATGTACTGGATAGATCGCTAAAAAATTTCAATAAAAATTACTCACCTTTACGAGTAGTGACTCCTTCAGCACAAAAGCATTTATAGCTGCAAATCTTAGATCCGTGCTCATACATTGATTCGCAAACAATACAAGCTAAAAACAGATGTCATTCTCATTAAATCATTTATCAATTAAAATTACTTGTTACCCATACTTGCCTGATACAATGCATGCTTATCTTTCACGTTGTCGTTATACATCAAGCAGTCAATCAGTGTCAAGTCAACCTTCTTGCTCTGCACAATTTACATGATTTTCGTGAAATTTCAATATTTTAGATAAAAATTAAGCTTTTCCAGCATATTACCTCTGTGATTGTTGATCTAGCTGACTTTGTCAATAATATCAACATAAAGACAATGTCGAAGAAGAATATCAAAGGCATGACTAAATCTACGATGGCATTCTTATTTTCCCTTACATTACCGTCTATGAAAACTTGACATTGTTTTAGAAATGATATAGTGTACACGGCGATGGATAAAAATATTGGCAACGAGTACAAATCGCACAACTCTTGCGATACTTCAATCAAAAATGTATGTGCTTCTCGTAACTTTAAAAAGATCGACGGTTTTTCTGGTATGTCCGGATTGAGAAGCTCAATGACTTCGATGTTGGATACATTTGTGTACATTTTTCTCGAATGGTAACATATCATTTTGAACGATAATTTTACAAAAACAGTTATCATAACATAATGGGTTATAATGGCGTCTACTATGATATTGTAAACAATCTGTATTAACAAAAATATCAGTTTATCGAAATTTTTGGGATCGAAGCAGTAATACAATTGTGATGTTATTGAAAGCACGTGAAAAATATAAGTAAAGAAAAGAAACGTACAGCTTTTTATTTCTTGTGATATGCATTCATCGTCGTTACTACTGTTCCTCAATCCCCTTATAATGTCTTTTACGGAATTTATTTTGCTGAAAATTGAAATGGCAGCTTTTTGTTGGAAAATATTTTGAATTAAAAAAACACTGGCAGCCGCAAAAACTAGTGTTTCGTTAATGAATTCGTAAATGTAGAAGTACGTGTTTTTAAACGTTGCAAAAACATGAAGTAGGTGGTAATACTTTACAATGGTAAATATTGTAAGTAAAAGAATATTGTATGCAACCCCGGTATATGAGGAACTGAACGACCAAGTTTTTAAAGAACTATTTTCAACATTCAATTCGTTTAATTTCAATGTAAAGCATCCAAGTATTCGATTCAAAAAGTAAAATATCTTAATGAATGGAAAGTTGGAGGATTTCGATTTTTTTCTTCGTGTCAATCCAGCTACATCTATGCGAATGTCGAGCTGAAAAAAAAATTCAAGTAATTTATCGAAAGAAAAATTATTGGTGTTTTTGTGTACTTACATCTGCTGCCATTCTTAGTAAAAACAGTTGATGAAATCCAATACCACAAAATTAAATAAATCGTACGATTATAACTTCAACTATTCAACTATATAATTTTTTTCGACAACCATCTGATCTTCTTCGAGTGTTGAGGCTCACTAAACGTAGAATGATATTCCGAGAGAAGGGCGAAAAATCATGAATTTTTTATTAACTTTTTTCAATCAGCAAATTAAATTTATTTTTTGATATTTCGAGGCAATACTTTAACAAGGCCTTCATATGCTGCAGTGACAAGTTATATTACAGTGCGCTTGAATTCAGTAAGTCGTAACCAAAACATGTGAGTGACACGTTGGAAATGACAGTCTTACAATGAATAGTCACTCTAATCAATTTGTATTTTGACCTGAAAAATTTTATTTCATGTTATCATGGGATATTGAAAGTCTAAAATTGTAAAAATATACCTTTTTTTCAATTCAAATGTACCTACTGTTGTGTTAAGCGCTTTATGCGTTGCTCATATTATTCGTTGCTATTTTAAGCAATAATCGTAATTATCATTACTATTTTCATTAGTATTTTTATTATTTGTTATTATTAATTTATCTACATTCTTTTTTCNTATTATTATTATTATTATTATTACTACTACTATTATTCAAAATTATTATATTCATTTCGTTGCATAAATACCATTCAAGTCATTTTATTTTTTTAGAGTATCTTTTATTTTGTTTTACAACAGTCAATGTAAAGCCTTAGAAACGAAAAGAAACAATAATTACCGAAAGTCCTTCGTATCAATTAAAGAGGATTCAAATGAACATGTGGAATAAATGCACATTTAATTTTTATAATAATTATTGTTTCAATGAAAATCAAAGTAGTTTTATGAGCAAAATTTGAAATTCCTCGCCAAAGTTTAGCCGATTTTTGTTCATCACCTCAATCAATTACCTGCTTCTCTCGGACTTTATCAACAAAGCAAGAAAATATGCTCACACGCGCCCTCTTCTCTTCTGAAAAAAAAAAAAAAAAAAAAAAAAGTTTTACGACGTGTCCCCCTTATACATATACATGGGGCTGAAAAATGTAATCAAATTAACCGCAATTTCAATAAATTACGTCCCACTTGGAGCAAAGTCGCCCCTTCGTTCGCTGGGACATTATACACCTATACATCACACCATGACCCGCGTACCCCACTCGTCCCATATAATATATATAATATACATACCGTCCCCTTGCCCACCGTACTATAAATATAAAACTTCATACGTAATCGGCTAAATGAGCGGGAGCAGCAAAACCTTCGGAGTATGTATATATACGTATGTTTTCACCCCCTAGAGCGCGATCGCCGACTAGTAGGTATCCTTACCAGCGCTCGTATCTCTCTATATATGGCCTATATGAGTTTCCCTTTTCCGCAACAATGCGCGCCTTTGTAACTACATGTCGTATAGGTATACATCATAATATACGCAGCCTCCGTGTGTGCAGCAGCGCACATGTATAGTGCAGCGATGTCCCTTTTCCGAAAAGCCAATGTGCTTGCCATTGCACAGGGTGTATATGGTATAACAGTTGCGCAACCGCTGACTGAATGGTTCAGTTGTTTTTGTTATTGGCGTTCAGGTTGTACCAATTCTAAAGGTTTGTAGGGCAAGTACGGTTAGTTATTTGGGATTTTAGGTTTTTTTTTTTTTTTTTTTTTTTTTCTTATTCCACCTTTGCTCCACATTATATTACATAGTCTTTGATTTTTTTTTTTTTTTTTTTTTTTTTTCAATCGATTGACAGTTCATTGATAGAATTCTACTGATTCTAACGAAAATAAAATTATGGGCCGCACGAAAGACAGCAAGATCTCGTAAAGATGTTGAATAAACTTTTGGGGCATCTTATGAAAAAGTAATTTCTTTTTTTTCTGATCTCTTGATGAGAGATTTTTCACCCACGCTTATTGTTCCGCGAAAATGCTCACAAAGAGACACTCGTATTCGTAGTGCAGTGACAAGAAAGCTGTGCAAGTATTAAAAAAGGAGAAAAAAAAAACGCAGCAAAGAAAAATAAAAAAAAAGGCAAAATCGGCGTATTTTACGAGCGCCGACGGACTAGACAGCCGCTTCGTATTTCCAAACAACGCGCCCGAGAAGCGAGTAGGTGTCGTCTTGCGTCTGGTGCGCCCCGTTTGCTCCCATGCCCGTGTACCGAGCAAAGGAAAGGATCGATCAGCCCAGTCGTTTTCAAAAATTTTAATGCATTTCCTGTAAAAAAAGAAAAAATCGGTAGGGCGCGCTTTGGCGCCGTGGCCGGCGATTTATTGCGACATCGTCTAGTCGCCGGTTTGTCGATCTAGGGGCGGATCGTGTTGGGCAAGCACGTGTAACGCGGCAGTCCGAGGGATGACCACTGCCGCCTTGGGTGCCCGTGTAGGTACACGCGCGTGTATGATGTGTGGGACAAACTTACCGACCACGTGTTTCGCATTTTTTTTTTTTTTTTTTATGGACGCGGCTTTCGCTGTATATGTATGTTCGTGCTAGGGAAAAGGAGGCGAGAGGGAGGATTTCCTTCGACTTGAGGCTATTACGTGACGCACGTGCGTACTTACTTTTTTCCATTTTAAGGAATGACAAGTACATTTGTATATAAGTAAGTTTGTGTTCTAAATCTAAAATCACTTTAGTAGAACGAGTATAGGTACTTCAGTAAGCTAATAATCGGAAAATATCCAAAAATACTGAATTATCATTATTATTATTTTTTTTTTATCTGAACAGATTATAATTTCTGAAATTCATAAGTTCATAAAAATAGTATTGAAACGTGAAAAAACTTTGTATCGAAAATCAAGTAAATAGAAGTATTTTGAGTAAGCCTGCAGGTGGAGCATTTAAGAGCGCATTATTTTTTACCCGATGGTACTACAGAGTTGTTTTTGGATAAAGGCAACAAGGCATACACCTATCGTTAATAATAAATAGCTCTTTTCTTGCAAACTCATCGGTAGAACGATACATTTTTTCTGTTTCCTCGGGTGGATGACTCTTCAGTAAAATTTCGAGGTCGACTATTTATGCAATCGATTTTTCTCAAATCAATTACTGGATCGATGAAAGTTTTGATCTTTGTTTCTTTTCTTGCTCCAAACTTGTTCAATTTTTCATGCTTGACACATGTAGGTCAACGTAAAATTTATCATATTTTAACATTCTGTAACATTTTTTTAAAATAAATAAAACTTACCCATACCTAACACTAAACTCGGCCAAACAAGAGTTAATTGCAATTTTACCGTGAAATCCCTTTTTTATTTTGATACTAAGTTGTATCCATACGTATAAGCTCTGAACCACATCTGTCAAAATTACGGAAGAGCTCTTGAATGCAATATCACTTTAAATATCAGTTTCAAAGCCTCGTGGAGGTTATACCCTCGTACGTAAGTGGTTTAAATAATTTTTAATTTTTCAAACTTTTTTACGATTTCCGAATGATTTTAAAATGATTTCTCTGACCACCTCGTGAAAATGTATTTCCTTAGCAAGTGTATTTTTTTGTTTTCATCCGTTGATAAAGTTGATAATTCTGTATTACTTTCGAAATAATTTGGAATAAAAAATTAAGATACAATACCTTCCTACGGTGTACTTTAAATATTAATTGATTTAATTACAAGATTCTCGTTGACATTTCAAATGCTAAATAGCCAACTTTTGTGCATTTATTCCGATTAACTTCGTTAAAAGGAGTCTTAATGATATCTCATGTACCGTTTGTGCAAAAAAAAGAAAAGGAAAAAAAAAAAAAAAAAACTTGGGATCGTAACAATATGCTGCAAGTGTTGATAATAAAAATATGTGAGGTATCGATGTACAGGGGATGCGCGCCCAGCTCGGTCCGACGCTCAAGTGCTTGCACATGAGAGGAGGAGGAGAGTCCCCTCGAAGAAGAGAATGAGTATCCCCGAGCTACCTAAACGTCATACACGTCGTGTGGTATTGCTGAGAGTGTGTATGCATGTATAAACCTACTCTTCATTCATCCACATATATATATACATATGCGCGAGCTGCGCGTGAGAAAACGAGCTAATAAGTAGTCGTCACAGCTACAGGGGACAGCGCCTCGTAAATCGTTGCGTCGAAGGTACTCGGGACTGGCGCCATCGGGATGGGGCAGCCCTTCTCTCTTTGTAATATTCATATGCACGTTAAGCCGGTGCATCGCAACTACACTCAAATGGCACACTTGACTTTTCGTGCCG